ATATTTAAGCTGACACAAACTCTCAGAGACTAGTCCGCTGTGTATTGTCATGACATAAGACTCTTCGCCATCTTCCCAACACTATCTCAATAGTTCCAACTCAAAATTTCGGCAATCTTTAGCTTAAGTTGATTCATCATTATTCATTAGCTGAAGAAACCAACTTTTGTAATCGGAGCCCTCTCATTCTTTTTTCTGTTTCACTATTTTTTCTACTAGCTAAACCTAAGACAAGAATGTCTACCTTAGAAGAGGACATACCAATTATAACGGATATATATTGTGAGTGCCTTACTAAAAATACGGCCCTATATAATATAATATAAGAGTGCTCTCCCTGCTGTCATTCGATTTGTCTGCGAAGTGTGTAGAAATTTATCTTGATAATTATAATACTCATTGTACCTCTCTAACACGATGCTTAATTACTTTAATACTGAGTGAGTGGAGAAGTTAAAGAGTCTATCTTGGCTAAATAATTATAGACGGATCGAGAGTAGCCTGTGTTAAATGCCGAATAAAGTTATCGAGGCTAGTAAACAAAAACGACTCTCGTGTTTGAGTCTCGATAAAGCATTTAGTAGCGAGCGAAATACGATATATAAATCTTTCTAAATAACAACAAAAACAAATGAAGGATGAGCATTGGAAGTCACAGTACATAATACAAAATTCTTTATCTTCTATCATGATTTACTCCACGAAGTAGCCTCTGAGAACGAATGATATAAATAGTTGTACATACTGGCGACAATAGAGTATTATAAGCTCGTGTGTGAACGCAATTTCATATTATCGAACCTCGAGAAAAAAGATCTCGGGATCGGACTCTCTCCGGATGCGACATTTTTTTATTGAGTGGCTCAAGCCACGCTCGAAAGCTCATTCTTGAGAGTGTATTGAGAGTGGAGCTGTAGTACATTGTTGACCCCTTTCCAAGAGTGTGTCAGTATTATGATCATATAGGCAACTTAACGTTACAATTAACCTCTGATCTAAGTAGAGTATATCTGATATCTCTCACCCAACAATTATGAATTATTGTACTCGCCTCAAATGGTTAGCTTTAAGGGCGGTCTAAGCATGTCGTAGCTCAATGGAACTCTGTGAAAGCCTTTTACTCTCAGTGATAGTCATAACTCGATATGATAAATCTGACTAAAAGAAGTGGAGATTGTGCGTCTGCGCGGTCTGTCATTCGTATGTTGGTTTCTTAAGTGATGAACTCTCCAAGAAAATAATTGTCCGATAAATGAAAAAAGTGTGAACATTCTATCTGCTTCTCTGAAATCTGGTGACTAGGTGTCAGAATTTACTTAGAATGAAGTACTCTAGTTAAGCATACCTTAGTAGGTAGTCTACACATGTAAAACAAAATAATGAAGCTCTTATATCAATATTACAAAGTGTGCGCCTGCAGAGATATTAAATTATGAGTGAGGATGATTCAAGAAGTGTGACACGAGTAGCGAATGGGTCAAATCCGCGATATCTCCGATAGACAATGGAACATCTCAAGAACTTATACTGTAAACACATTTGGTTATTGTCGATGTGGGTTGTCTGTACATACATAAAATGGTCCAATTTTAAAACATTATTCAAACACATGTTTGACAGTCTCATTAACTAAACACTTAAAATAATATTATTGATTCTTGAGCCATAATGCTTTGGCAGTCCTATAACGATGATTGCATATAGAAATGTTCTAGTATGTTTTTTTGTTTTGTCTGAATTTTTAATTCATGAAATACATTTCCAATGAAATAATGGTTCCAGTAGGATCTCGAGATGGATAATTATTCTCGCCTACATTCTCTTCCTCTCTACGTCCTTCATATTCTTGATCAACACTCCTCTCTCCAATATTCCCCCATACATTGTGTATCGAGCGCGTCGATGTGCCTCGTATTTGATACATGATTATATCATTGTCATTGTTGTGATGAAATGTATAGAGATAAACGTGGTTATAGTATATATTGAAACCTCTGTGATGTGTGGAATGAGTAAAAGTGTCAAAACTCAGAGCTTCCAGAAATGAGTAGACATTTTAAAGAACACACGAAAATGTTCTTTGTTAGTGTACATAGAACAATAAAAAATTACGAAAAGAAAAAAGATTAATTGACTCTCTCGCACACAAATATAAGTTGTCAATAACTTCATATGTTACATACACTTTTAATTTTGCTTCTATTTTAATAGCAACAATTTATCACATCCCCAAGTGAGTGAGTATATATACATTTCTACTTTTGTAGCGTGCATCTTTAGAAGAAAATATACTTATAAGATTGCGTTGCTCCACATAACTCAATATGCGAGTTAGAACATGGTCTAACGATACATATCATACAAAGATTTAAACTCGGTAATAATCAGCTGGAGGCATACATAAAAGATACAAATACCTGGTTATTTTCAGTGTTTGAATTTTAAAAACTTTTTTCACAAGCTGATGATATTTTTATTTATACATTCAATTTTAACCCTTGTTTATACATTGATTATAATTATGATATAGAACTAATTCATACATTCTTTTAAGTTAAATCCCGAAACACAATGCCATAGAGTTTATAATACCTTACTATTATACTTTTCTAATTTGTTTTTCCAAGTTTCATAACTGTTTTCACATATCTTAACTATTTCAATTAAAATCAAATACTCGGTTTTCAAAAAGCATTCTCTATTAAGATATTGTTGCGTGTTGTTCTTGCAACAATTGAGATTAATCTCATCAATTAAGACATCTCAAAAGCTCGACCATTCATTTATATGAAGCTCAATATATGAAACATAAAGAGCGATAGCTGTCAAAATACTCGCTCTCGCGCACGATATTTCCAATTGAGACGCTGAATATCTGCATCATTTGTCCATTGCGATCATCTCTCTGGAGTATGGTCGGCATGTTTTGCCTATATGTGAAAGAAGTATACTGAGTGTTTTTAAAAGAAGAGAGATCAAAAAGGATCCGCACACCGTAGGCGATCAATAGAATCTCAGTTATGCAAAGCAGTGTATACGTTATCTAAGAGTCGATTATATCATGTTATAGTGTGTGTTGAGATTCACTATTCTCTAATATGTATACATAATATATAAATATAATATGAAAATAATATACTGAATCCACAAAACTGCACTTTCACCATTTAAGGCAACCCGTCTACACTCTATATAACATACCGTCCTCTAACCCGGATATAACAGCCCTTTATTGGAATCCCGGACCTCAGTAATCTATCCCTGCTTATATAATGCGAGAGAATAAACTGGCCCTCGTTGTATTTGTGGAAACCCATTCACAGACCAAAACAGCAAGTTACAAAGCGTTTAAATTCTCCGATTATCAAAGTGTTAATTGTCACAAAACGTGGCAGACTTCCTACTGTTAATTAAGCCATTACAGTTTTACAATATTCCAGATAAGTCATCACAACATATGTTGCTTATTATCTAGGAATTTGCATAGATATATGCGAGATCCTTTAGGCTCTCGCTACATGCTGAGACTAGCTCTGAGCTTAATTGCAGTGGAATATTTGGCTTTCAGTAGTGAATTACTCATACTTTTGCACCAAGTCAAAAAGAGATACAGTCTCTCTTATCCTCGAGTATCATCCCATAGTTATAACTGCCGTGAGTCTTTATTGATGGCGTTGTATGCGGATGACTTGTGAAGATCAATCTATTTTTTCAGTGTAAAACTTTTGAGAGGAGAAAATAATGAATTATGTGGCTTTAGTTGTAAATCTAATATTTATAGTGTCTATACAACTCTGGAATAGAATATTACGAAAGTACACATATTCCATTGTAACTCTTTATTATATAAGATATAATAATATGTGTATATATATTTTATGATAAATATGGTGTTTGTTTTATGTATTTGAAAATAATTGCTGTTCTCAGGTGTTTCAAGATATCCAAACAACACACCTATTTTAAAGCGGGACTTGACCGAGGTTTGTTTTTACAATAATTGACTAAAAATGTTTCTGTAGATTTGTCAATTTATAGGTTCGTTATACCAATGATTTAGCGTCATATTGTAATAACTTGTGTGCAAAAATTTCTGGCTCATGTCCTATTTGGCGCATCACACTTTCCTCAGCTCTCTATAGGAACTCATCTGTATAGTTATCAAGTGTGCTGATCAAAATGCATGCGCTGTCCCCCGAAAAAGTATAACAAGATTATATATCTCACAATGGGCCTAGCGAGAGAACCTAAAGGAATTCGCTAGTAAACACATAAGTATTGTCAAGAACCAACCAAGATCTGTTCCTAAGCAAGATATTGCTCGTGTAGCCTACACTCAATTGATACAATGTTATACTCTACATGTCTGCACGATTTTTCTCTCGGTTATTAAGTGGCCAAAACTCTCACAATCTAGTCAAATAGTTTATTGAAGATTTTCTGGTATTGTATATATGGCATTATGCGAGCGTCTTTAATCCTCATTTGACGTTGATATATATAAATAAGTTCTCATCAGCTCCCGGTCACCAGCATATCTAAAACTATATTAACATAGATTTTACTCAATGTCTGATGTATTAAAACATAACATAATGCGTGTTGAGAACATTAGGTCTTCATGGTAAAAGTGATATAGTAAACGACATGAGAGTATGATGTGGACCACAATGTGAACGACTTGAGATTTTGAAAATGTGATAAGATATTATGCGGTATCAGTTGATTATAATTCATCTGCTTAAGAAAATTGCATTATAAACTCTTCGACTTGAGAGCAGACAAGACGTATGTAGGTTCATTATGATGACCGAAAAACTTTATAAAGAGTGTCTCACATGTTCATTAGTTAAATAAATCTGTACATGTTTAAATGTATATGTTGAATTGTATATGTTGAATTGCATACATTTAATTGTACATGTTGAATTATTCATGTTGAATAGATTATGTTCAATAAGTGATCATGTTGCATTGTATATGGTTAAATGTACATGTTGAATTGTATGTGATAATGTTTTTTCAGGAAATCTTGGAGAGGATGCAGTATGCAATGATAAATGAAGGGTTCAAGATCCTCGAGGAAGGTTTATGTTCAATGCCCGAGGAAATTGATATCATATGGTATATGCTAATATTATCTGTTGTTATTTATTTGTGCATAAAAACTAGGCATGTAGGTATACATTAATGGAGTAGAAAACATGCTTGAAAGGAAAGAGTCTTGTACCCATGCAGTTTAGTACGCACTTTTTTTAAATAGGCTTGACTTGGAGCACAATATAAAAAACAGCTGGATGCAATGGTGGCCCCGGTAGTTTTATGATCAAAACATAAATGTCAAATGACATTTTATTAGCAAAAGCATGTCAGAAGTAATGGCCAAAACATAACTGTCAAATGACACTGCACTGGCATGTAAAAAGTTCCGCACTAGCAATGGTTTCTTTACATGAAATACAGATAACAGAATGCAGAATTACCGATTTAAACATATACTTTATTAACATTTGGAGAAGCCCTCTTACTAGTTAAATCCAGCAGAAGCTGGACATGTTGAATTCAGCAGGTTTTAACTTAGGTTAATGATGTAGATACAATGTTTTAGATATATGTATTTCAGATTAGGTCTCTCTTCTTTCAGGATATATGGATTTAGCTGGCCTAAATATATGGGTGGACCAATGTATTATGCAAGTCAGGTTGGTTTGAAGAAGATATATGAAAGGATATGTTATTATCATAAAACATTCCGTAAGTTTTTTCGTATAACATTCTGTTAGCTCTAGAGGGTATTGAATGAGCGTAAGTTCAATACTGTATTTATTGCACGATTTGAATAAGATATTATGCGAGCCTCTGGAATTTAATATTCTATTTATCACATATCCAAAATAAAAACTGTTTAAAGTGAAAACAAAATTACTTTTCGTTTGATAAGCCTATATTGTAATGCTAACATTTAGTTGGTCTTTACGCTATGTTTGTATGACGCAAATGACATCACATCAGGATATATGCACAGCCTTGCAATACCTGTTTAATGGAGTCGCAAAAGTGGCATGGTTGTGTGATAAAGTTATTTTACTGATGCTGTAACAAAGTTAGAAACACGAACACACGCACGCGCACACACACAATCAAAAAAAGCAGTAAGACACATTTATTAAGGCATGCTATACAGGAAATGAACCTGAGCTATAAGCATACTTGTAAAGTAGAAAATAAAACTGTGAGGCATTTAGATATGGAAAATGCAAGCTGTCACATAATGAGCAGATTATATGGATTTTGCTAAATGTGCCGAATGTATCTGTACTGTACATATGGCAAACTACCCAAGGTTGTTTGTGCTTGTATAGTTGTGGAAAGTGATAAAATCTTTGACTTAGTGCAGTAATAGGTTAACTCTTTATATAATTTTATACAAGTTAAGTCGTTATTGCACTAAGGTGAAGAAATGTTTATTCAGTTTTAGCACAGAAGTATTGATTGATGATATAATTGGCAACAGATTGTTATGCATAAAGTCTTCATTCAATAGTACATGTAGGCAATATGCCTAATGTCTTTACAGATATAATCCCATGTAAATATAAACATACTAAAACTTGTTTTATGAGTCATTGCCCATAAGATAGATAAGTAAACATCAACAACATAGCTAAATTTAATAAAAAGGCAAAATATCTATAAGAAAATAGTAAAATTTTATCCAATTTAATTGGAACATTCATTCATTTATTCATTCATTCATTCATTTATTCATTCATCCATTCGTTTATTCATTCATCAATTCATTTATTCATTCATCCATTCATTTATTTATTCATTCATTTATTCATTCATCCATTCATTTATTCATTCATTCATTCATATATTCATTCATCCATTCATTCATTTATTCATTCATTCATCCATTAATTAATTAATTAATTAATTAATTCATTCATCTATTCATCCATTCCTTCATCTATTCATTCATTCATTCATCCATTTATTCATTCATTCATTCATTCATTCATTCATTCATTCATCTTTTACAGAATGTGTTTGCAGCAGCTAAAGATAAAATCATTTGCAATTATTTGAATTTCTTACAATTATAAATCATAAGAACTTTAATAATGATTAATGTTATTAGACAGGTCTTGTGGTAATTACAGATTAAATACTTTATTACATTAATTGACTGTCTTAGAAAATTGAAATTTATGCATAAATTAAGTATTATGTTTATTTTGTAAAGTGGATAAACTATAAATTTTGCTCATTATTTACCAACATCTTGTTTTATGCCTACAACTGCCTCGGGAGGTTTTTTTTGGCTGATCTCGCCAACATTTCAATTGGACCGGCCCCAAGATTTATTGATCAAGTGGCGGCATGGCCGAGTGGTTAACGCGTCAGACTAGTAATCTAATGATCATTGGTCGCATGGGTTTAAACCCTGTCCGAGGGGCAAGTCATTGTTTCCTTGAGCATTAGAAACTTTACACTCATTCCGCAGTACTGGTTGGTTCAAGGAACGGATTTCAAAAGTGTGTCTATAAGTTTATTATAAGCAAGTTTCTACACAATCAAACTAAAATAAATTCTGTATAAACCAAGCTTTATTGATTCTTTCTATGGTATAGACTACAGTGTAGGGAAGCAGATGTTCACATCTGATTAATACCTTGTACATGTTTTATATCGTGACTCAGAGATGCTATATATGTATATTTATTTCATGCTTTTGCTGGTTTATAGAAATGTATCAGTGACTTTGTAAATGACATCACGTTGTATTATTATTTGGCACGCTTTTCAATTAGTATTATATTAAAATGTCTTTTTAAATGTTTCTTTGCAAAATTAAAAGAAAATTTGTTTAATTTAGTGCAAGATCAAAATATATTTCACCTCGAGAACACCAAGAGATCATATTTCACTCATGGCTGCGTCGCTCAAGAAATATACCTTTTGGTGCTCACTTGGTAAAATATATTCCGATCTTACACTGAACTAAACAAATATCCTCTATATGAACTCTAGACAGACAGCTGCTTTTATTATCAAATTAAGTTTACCATATGTAGCTAACAACACTATAATAACATTAAGAATATATAATACACACAAGGGTGTGCTGACAAACACTTTTAATGAATGAAAACCAGCACAGAGTACCTGTAATTTTATTTTTTCAAATTAAATATTCATAATTTCTACTTTTGTTATATATATATATATTTTATGGGGATTAAACATATTGATTTAAGCTCGATTGCAAAACATGTTCTTGCAGTTTATATTAATCACTTTCGAGTCTGCTTCCTGGAACCAACTAGAACTGGTGTCATATGAAGAAACATGATTGTGACCTGATTAGGGCTCAAACCCAGGATCCCTGGGTTGAAAGGCAGGCACCTTAACTACTAGGCCACTGCTCCCCTTCTTTCTTTGCATGTATGATATTATTATATGATAACTAAGGCAGATGGATGGACTAACTTGTCTCCCCAGAATGCAAATAAGAATGTTAATTTAATTAAGAACAAAAAAAAACCCCTCAATTATGCTCATTATGAATACAAAATGGGAGAAATGACCTGTTGGTTGTCTGTTAAACATGGGGATCAAGAGTATGATGCCATCTATAGCATGCGGAAATAAGCCGCATTTTGCAATCTTTAAAAGCAGCAGTGTTTATTTTTATTTGTCCAGACATTAAAAAAACAGACTGGTCTATTGAGAATATCAAAGTGTAACTTTCATGCTCTTAGGAGAGAAAAGTAGGGTTTGAAACTGCTTAAAGTCTGCTAAGATTGGTCAATTTTTTAACTATTTGATAACTACCTTGAACTTTGCCAAAGTTACTTCCCTCTTTATTTATCTTTGATCAATTACTGTTCTGTTCCACAAATTGAAGGAATTAAGTTGTTATAATTAAATACCTTTACTGTATTTATTTCAGCATACAGTTCTCATTGGGTACCAAGCAGTCTTCTATCAAAACTTAGCCAAAATGATGTACCATTTAGTAAATGGGGACAAGCAATTCAAGGGAGCAAACTCTAACTTGCCATAGAAGAAATATCCTGGACTTTGTAAAAGGGAGTGAATTTGTGACAAACTTATTTAAAAGAAAAATACTGTTGTGTTCAGAATGATCACTTGATTCAATTGTAAAGATTGCCATTATTTTTTACAATATTGATGATTATATTAAAACAGTTTTTGTCCAGCACCCTTTTACTATTTAGTATACATACTATATAATATATTGTAAATGTGTGCTGGGTAGTAATTTTGTTTTTGATGATCAAGGGGAGATTTAAAGTTTATGATAAATTGACCATTATTGGCAAGACAAATGTGCTGAATGCCTGTTGTTGAAATGATCCATTAAGTATCTTAATTAGAATGATCTGGAGGTGTGCATGCTGCTAAAATTAACAATACAACTGAAATGCAACCAATATAAAATTCAGCAAAATAGAGATAGTTCAAAAAGTCAGTTACACATGATTTTTAAACATTATTTCATATAAAATTGATTTTTATGCATGATTCGATTTGATTTTATTGTGTTTTTCAACCATTGTTTTTAAGTTCATATTGCTTTGGAGATCTACATATTTCTTTAATATTAATCTCAGATCACGTACTCTATTATTTGGTTTAATAAAAGCAGCAAGGTCGGACCAAGGTTTTCAGTTTTTGAAAATATTTGATAAAAATGGTCTAAATTATTAGAAAAGAGAACCATCTATATAGATATTCTAAGATTTAGTGCAAAAAGATTGCAAACCTGATTTGAAGGGGTCGGTTGAATATATGTGTGTTGAGCTGGCTTGTTTATAGACTGTCTTTAGCAGAGTTTTATATATTATTTAATATTTATTATTTAATGATATAATTTTTATAATTATTTTAATGATTTTTTGATGCTTTGTTTAAGTAATAAGTTTTGATTATAAAGTAAAGCATGTAAGAATGGGATCAATTTTTGTCACAAATAATTATATGGAGGGTTGACTGCAAAACTGTAGTAACTTATATGAAATAAAGAAGGACTTACAACAGTTTGGAGATCAACCCTCAATATATACATGTATACTGCCCTTTTACTGTTTCAACACTCAAAATGATAATTAATTGAGTGTAATTGAGTAAAGTAGGTACATATGTATATAATTTAAAATTTAACAATGTACATGTATTTATCCTCAAATATTTTATGTTGATCTAAATTGTGAAGGAAAAATAATTATATTAAACAGAATGACAAAAAGTATTTCTTGTTTATTTTCCTTTAACCTAATAAGAGTATAGTAATGGCATAAAAACCGTGGTATTGTTTAAATTTTATTTTTTTTTAAATTGTATTATTGTTAGGTTTAAAAAAGCCATACTTTAAAATTTAAAGCAAATATACTTTGAACTATAATTAAAGAAGGCAAAGCCATGAACTATAATAACAGAAGGCGAAGTCACTTTGAATGTGTTGAACAATAATAACAGGAGGCAAAGTCACTTTGAATGTGTTGAACTATAATAAAAGAAGGCAAAGTCACTTTGAATGTGTTGAACTATAATAAAGGAAGGCAAAGTCACTTTAAATGTGTTTATCTATAATAAAAGAAGGCAAAGTCACTTTAAATGTATTAATCTATAATAAAAGAAGGCAAAGTCACTTTAAATGTGTTTATCTATAATAAAAGAAGGCAAAGTCACTTTAAAGGTATTTATCTATAATAAAAGAAGGCAAAGTCACTTTAAATGTGTTGAACTATAATTAAAGAAGGCAAAGTCACTTTGAATGTGTTTATCTATAATTAAAGAAGGCAAAGTCACTTTGAATGTGTGGAACTATAATTAAAGAAGGCAAAGTTATTTTGAATGTGTTGAGCTATAATTAAAGAAGGCGAAGTCACTCTGAATGTGTTGAGCTATAATTAAAGAAGGCAGTCACTTTGAATGTGTTGAGCTATAACTAAAGAAGGCAAAGTCACTTTGAGTGTATTGAGCTATAATAGAAGAAGGCAAAGTCACTTTGAATGTGTTGAAGTATAAGTAAAGAAGGCAAAGTCACTTTGAATGTGTTGAATTATAATTAAAGAAGGTAAAGTCACTTTAAATGTATTGAGCTATAATAGAAGAAGGCAAAGTCACTTTGAATGTGTTGAACTATTATTAAAGAAGGTAAAGTCACTTTGAATGTGTTGAACTATAATAAAAGAAGGCAAAGTCACTTTGAATGTGTTGAACTATAATTAAAGAAGGCAAAGTCACTTTGAATGTGTTAAGCTATAATTTAAGAAGGCAAAGTCAGTCAAACTATCATGTAACAAGGTCAAATCACGGTGATTTATGTATTGAATTTATATTTTACATATTTACATTTATGTGAATTTTTTATGTGTGTATAATATCCCGCTCATGACTTTCTTTCTTCCATATGGTAACCACCTAATAAGATAATACGATATGTTGTTTTTTCCCACGGAATGAGAAAATTTGATAATTTGATGTTTTAAATTGCCGGACAGCTACAGAGACTTCCTGGCTGTGGAAAATAAATATTGTAAACCAAAACTTTTTTATGTATGAATTGTATTAAGAACTGAAGAGTCTTTGTAACTTCCAAGTAACATAACTAAGAAATAATAATAAACCTATAGTTTTCTCGTGAAAAAAATGAAGAAAAAACAAACAAACAAAACTGTCGTTATGCATTTAGAGACAAAATGGTATTTCTTCATAAATTTAAAGCAGTCGTGTATATCAAACTATGTGAACGTCACGATTTTCAACGAAAAATTTTACAAACGTGCAGTATACAGTCGAGACTGCCTTAGCGACCCCCTGGTTTAAACGACTCCCTGTCTTATCCGACCTTGTTTCAGTACTCCCAACGTATTTTCCTATATAAATGGTCTGAATTAAACGACTCCCTGTCATAATGTGACAAGCGACCTTAATTGTCTGGTCCCAATGCAATGTTTTGTCTGATTTAAACGACTTTCACACCTTTTTATTATCCGTTAATCAGAAAAAGAATACCTATTTTAACACCCAGAGGGCCAAAATAATTCAGTCCAATTATAATCCAGTAGCAAACAAAGTCTACACACCTCTATCTCAATTACACAATTAGCGTGTATATACCGGTAGATACATGCAGGTACCAAGTGACGTAGCGTCTGTTCATGGAAAGCATGATGTAATCGATGTGTGTGTAATGTACAAAATGGCCTGAGTACTTGTGTTAGATTTTTTTTAATTATAGAGTGCCCACGGAAGATTTTTTAGGCAGCATTTTTTTAATTTACCTTTCTATGGCTGCATAATTAATACGGAAAAAATATTGATACCGAACCAGAAAAAGCTTTGGATATGGACAATTGTTTAAAGATCCTGTAACACAATTTTTTCATGGTTTTATTTCATAAATATGATGCTCAAATTAAGATTTGTCAATATTGTAAGTTCAAATAAGCATTATTTATAAAGATATCACCCAACTTAACATTTCATGTAAATAAAGGCCATTAAAGGGAGGTAATTAGAACTTCATTTTCTATAAATTCTAAGTCAAATTTTCCAATAAGAAATCAATGCATGTAATTTATTTATTAAATATAATGTGAACAAATATTTGCAGTACACATTTTACATATTCTTTGATGTTTGAAAATTGTTTTATTTGCATAATTATATCCATATATATTTTTTGGCAAGATACGTAAACACAGTAACAATATCAATCACAAAACATACAGGATCTGTAAGTCACATTGGTATATAGACAGATAGATGATATTTAAATCTAATTTTCTTTGAGACTGTATTTAGAGACTCCCTGTCATATGCGACCTTTTTCTGAAGATCCCTTGGAAAGTCACATATGACAGTCTCGACTGTATTATAAAGGTCGTCATTTGAAACATAATTATGTAGGCTATTCGTGCTTTAAAAGAGGATGTGGCAGGTTTCTATTTGAAGTATCGACCAACTGAACAGTGCATTCTAGACGGATGTGGTGCGTTGTCTTTGCTAAATAAATGTATAATTAAGAAAAGTTGCAGCTCGGTCTAACTACATACGCAATTGCATCTTTTCGGCCCTTTCCGTCAAACTCCGAAGAGATTTTCCGATTATAACACACCATATACTACCATAGTAACAATTTGCTTTAGATTCATAAGATACTAAACTTAATACTTATATATAAACTATAAGGTGAGTCATAAGTAGTTCAACGAGATTTATCTGGTTTTGTTAGATATGACAAATTTTTAAGTGTGTTACGTCAAGAAGTAAATATGAACCTCCAAGAAATAAATAAGAAAAAAAAACAGTTAAGCATATCCTCCAAATTGACTGATGGTAGACTAATTGCGGTTGACAGACATATCATTTCTGTCAACATGTGGTCACTGTCAACAGGTGGTCTCTATATACGAGTGGTATCTGTTGACGGACTGTTTTTGTTGACGAATGGTCAATGTTGACGGAAATAGCTATTGTCGAGTGGTGCACTGACGGCAGGTTTTAGTTGGCGATGAGTGAAAATTGTTTACATTATATTAATTACTATTAATTTTCTTAGCATATTTTGAACACTGCTGATCATAGGTGGTCTCTGTTCACAGAAGGTCTCTTTTTACAGATAATAACTGTTGAAAAGTGATCTCTGCTTACTGACCACCTGTCTTCTCGGACCATCACTGTTTGTTGCCGAGAGATGTCCTCTAGAGACAGTTTGTCCCTATTTACGTGTTCTATATGTTAACAGTCGGTTCATGAATATAGGTATAGTATAAACTGTCTTGATAGGGAAGTTGTTTCACATAAATATTACACAAAATTGACCTCTTGACATATGAGATAAATTAATAAATGTTTGCATAATTATCTTTTCCATAATTAATTTAGTTAAGATGGGAGCGTTTGTATTCATCGACACTGACAAAGGTGAGAGTTTAATGTGACAAGTGAATATACAAAGATATATCACACCGACATGACTTAATTGTAACTTTACTTAACTTAACGTGCCCCGATCTTGTGTTACATGTGACCAATTGAGACTAGTGAAAGTGTAAAGATATACCACACCGACAACAACAGTGATAATACAAGAAAAGCATTGATGCAAAGCATCAAAGGGCGACGCCAAAAGAATTTTATCCAGATTTGCACCTAAATACTTAACAAAAGATGTGTACTTTATAGCAGTACCATTACATGTGACCTGGAGGCTAAGGCCAGGTTAAGTTGAAACTTAAACCAAAAAAGAATAGACTCTGTCTTGCCAAGATGCAAAGGCAATTTATAGTCAATTAAGCAATCTTATAAGACTCATGTTATAAGAAAGAATTTCTTCAGATTTAATTTATGAGACACAAGGATTCCTGAGTCATCAGCATATAATCACTGGCACGAGTATCGGACCTGGGAAGAAAAAATATGACCAGATGACCAGATTGATAAAAAAAAACTGTGTTTATAAAAACCAAAACAAAAAATGTAAATAATGATCCCCTTTAAAAATATACTTTCAACTTGAAGTATATTTTTAAAGGGGGTCATTATTTACATTTTATTTTGGTTGTTGACACTTTTAAGATGAACACAGGTTTTTTTATCAATCTGGCCAAATTTTTTCATCCAAGGTCTGATACTCGTGCCTGTGCATTATAATAAAAGCTTATTGCTTAGGGTTGAAGACATGTAATTGACATATATTAGACATAAAAGAGGACCTAAAATGAACATCAGGGGGACAGCATAGGTACTCAGAGCAGTAGTAGAATAAGTACCAGCCACATCAACCAGCTACTATCAGAGATAAGACTTAAACCATGTAAGAATGTCATTATATATGGCAGATGCTTGAAGTTTCATGAAGAAGAAGAAAAACAACTTCTTCATGTGCAGGATAGTGTGTTCAACTGTATCAAATGCCCTTTGTAGATCTAAAAGTATCATGCAATACTGCCTTTGTCCATTTCAAATAATGCAATCTGTTAAATGAATCAAACATGTGTCAATTGAAAAACCACTTCTAAACCCTGACTGAAACTGCCTGACCATGACTCAAACCCATGACTTTCAGAAGACCAACTGAGCTATCCGTCCTGCTACACATTTTCTCTTTAATAATGAAACAGTTCTAAACCACAACATATTTCCCCACTATATCGATTTGTGTTCGTGAATTTCTTATGTTACAGAGCATAGGAAATTGAACTCATGCTTATATGCAGTCATAGGATGAGAAAAACTTTGAGCTTGACCAGAACTCATTAACCTGTGACCAATATAAGAAGAAATTTTATGAAGGCTGATTTGTATTTTGCATCAAGGGCACCGGGCAAAAACATGAAAATGCAACAAACAAACCACTTTGTGGTAGATTGTATTTTCATGTTTTCATCTGGCGCCCAGTTACTTTTTGTACTATGTTGGTTTTCATGTGGCACAAATCACCCACTATAAATTTAGTGCACAAATTTATTCAAGGGCAAGTAACAATCTACTCTATGTACAGTCTGTTGTCGCGTTGACTCAGGAGACCTGGAGGTTGAGACCGGTGTCTCTTCATTACAAATAGATAAGACAGAAGCTGTCCTTTTCAAACTATGCACATGTTAGAAAAAAATAGAATAACTATTCAGAATATGATTTTTTGAGACTTTATTAATTATATTGCTTGATCCAAGTTTAAGGACATTTTCAATCAATACATGTTTTATCATTTATAACTTTAAATGAAAGTCTCATCCCTTTAATAATAATGACATAACTGTATCTCTTTAAATGCAGAAAAAATATAAGTCTCAACATATCAATATACTACTGTCTAAGATATACATGTACATGCACATAACATTAATAATTCCCAGTTTATATTAAATAAATATGAAATCCTAACATTAACATTAACATGCTTTTGATGACCTTACAACTGGTGAATTATATACAACAAAAATAGTATTATAAGTAATACCTAAGATAGACAGAAAAGAACAAATAATTTAGTAAACATAAGTTACTTCCCCTTAAAATAAAGAAAACCTGAAACCCAAAAGAACACGATAAACAGCAAAATTATGAAATGTTGCAGGTTCAATTGTATCAAGCCATGCAAATTAATGGTAAAGTATTCATAAAAAAATAGATGGCCTTGTGTCAGCAGTAATTGCAGAAAATCGGATAGCTTTCAACATCCGGATACTGGTACACTTTGTAAAAACAACCATTCTGCGCAACAGATAAATGTAATAAGGATAAAATCAATAGGATAATCGTTTACAACAGTTTCATTACCTATCCTTATACTCAATTGCAGGTGAACTTTCTTCTTGTAGGAAAATTTTGAAAATGTATAAATGATACGGCCTCAATCTAGACCACAACGATATTCGAAATCCGGGTTTTAGTATTGTCATTAAAACTAAGGGACAAGCTGTTAAACTTAACCCGCAATTTCGTGAAAATAATATCACAATGCACATGCTTTTTACATAAAGTTATTAAATACAAATATAACAACACATTTGTTTACTTGATTTTTACGAATCAAAATAAAACTAATTTACACAACATGAAATTAACTGCTAATAATAACAGCTCCTTCCATAGGCAAAAATAAAAAGCGTTCCATAATAGACGACGCCGCTCACCGGCGTCGCCAATTACTATAAGAAATTTGTCATTAAATCGTCATGAATTGTGATTTTACACTTAGAGAAGCTATGTAAACGATGAATGTTTTCATGTGAGTATAAGGCAAGCAAACATCTGTATCTATAAACCCGTTTCTTGTTTTCTTCTTGCCGGTTTACAGACACGTTCTTTTGACAAATATCATTTTTTGACTGGTTAGTTGTTTTCTTGTCTATATGAGTAATTTATTTTGTTATTCCATTTTACACACCCTTTTATAAAATGAGATGACTAGTTTTGTACAGATCATGTCTTCTAGATGCATGGTCGGGTTTCTTAATTACTTGATACAAATGTTCACCACAAATAAGACATACTATTGTGCGTTTGAAGCAGGTTTCTAGGTCAAAGGCCAAGGTCACACTTAGCGATTGGAGGAAACTGGAGAAAAATTTCTACATGTGTTGGGTGATTTTAATATTACTTTGCACAAGTATTCGCCACTGTAAAGCGAAGTCTGACGCACAAATTTAAAGTGTCTGTGCCCAAGGTCAAGTGTACACAGAGGTCAAGGGTCAGATTTAATTATGAAAATGCGTGTATGGATGACAATTAGATAGTTTTGAAATTGGGAAATATATCACACATGTTTAAAGTGCACGTTTTTGCAAGGTCCTGCTCACTTGAGAAGTATCTTTTAGTACTACATGTACTTGATTCAAATATTCACCACCATTAACGGTAGTGTCGCACGCTCGCAGCAATTCTCTAGGTCAAAGGTTTATATTTGCTATCATGAGGCTGATTATTGTGGCGGGCGTATTTTTTTTATAACAATGGCACTCTTGATATGATATATACGCTCGTATTATATACAATTTGATGATTTTTTTAAAAAAAAAGTTCATGTAATCTTACTTTATTTCAAAACTAATAAATCAATCCGAAATAATCCTTTGTTAAATGTTTTTTTATTGATTTTTTTACAAAATAGTTAACTGCATAGGTAATATCATACAGTATCTTTACATGATATTCATCTTGTATCCTTGTTTTATTTTATTTATTTATTTATTTATTTATTTTGTTTGTTGTTTTTCTCTTCTTTTTCTTGGGGGGGGGGATTTTTTGCGTGTTTATTCGTAGATAAAAAGAAAAAATCACATAGTGTGTAAAATTCGCTTCCGATATTCATGTATACAAGTTTCATTTCGTTGTCCGAACACATTGTTTCAAGTAACTCTTCCTGTAAAAACACTTCATCGCATTTTTCGCTCTCTAGAGTGTTACAGTATAAATACACCGCGTGAACGCGAGTAACGTCATTCGCCGTATCTCACTAAGACTGATTGAGTCGACGTGAGAGTTGTTTAACAAATAATTTTTCAGTGTTTTTATTTTTAACGGACAGACAGACGATCAAACATTATGGTGAGCAAAAATTTATATTTAATTTACTCATTTTAAATACATCATATCTTAAACTTCTTTGATGCTAAATTATCTATATTAAATCTTGTACACAGTTATTAAAAATCTAAGGATGTCAATCTAAAGTTAAAGGATGTGGTTGATTTTCATGTGGAATTGTATTACTTTTATGCACATATGTATTATTTTAGTAAACTAAATCGACGCAGCGTTTAAAAAAGTACATTTTATCAATAGATATACATATTTTTCGTTGCAAGAACCATATGTTTAAGATTTTTCCCAGTTAATCTATACAAAATTCAAGCTTTAGCCCCAACAGAATAATGATTTGGGCCTTCTTTAACTTTACAAAACGTCAGTCAAAAACGCCCATCCTCATGGAACCTTCTAGAAAATGTCTCACTCATACTTATGTATATTATTGTATTCTATATATACATATTTTATACACGCAACATAACAACATCATATTGGAAAAGCAAAACCTCTTTTCCGTAACATCTGCTTTAAGTGTATATAAAATTAACTACTCGGTCAAACTGTATGTAAATGTTACAGTTTGTTTTATGATAATAAAGAGGCATTCTTGTGTACCCATGCGATCAGTTATTTACTTATTTTAAACTTTACACTTATAATATGTTACGGAGTCTGCTTCTACGCATATCGTTAACGTTAACATGAATCACCGAAGATACTATCTTGTTTACTACAAAAGCTTTAACCTTGGTCATAGTTTCCTTTTCCCTATTTTCCACTTAAAACTTGAAATGCGGAAACATCTGTTACTTTAGATATCCACGTCTTAATGAAATAGCGCGCTTTTCCCCGTATTTGTAGAAATAAACGTCTGAATGACATAGAATAATCATTATGTCGTCTGCTGTAAACGTATATCTTGAGAGCGCGTCCATCCCCTATAGACATATGTATCAACTGAGAATAGTCTTACTATAAATGGATAGGTCTGTCTGAGTTTGCAAACTCAATAATTGTGAATTTTGCAGATGCCATGTAGCAAATTTTGATGCGCCGGACACACATCGAAACCAAATATCTTTATAAGAAAATTGTCCAAAAGTTGGAGCAGGAAAAATGTCTATCTATATCCTGGTTTGGAGTTACATATTTGTAAATTAATTAAGATTAAGGTGAAATGATCAGTCAATAACATACCAGACCCCTATTACTTTCATGTTTTTTTCGTGTTTGTTTAAGACCAGATGTTTGTTTTGTTAACCCTCTATGTCCCATGATACCTCTGGTCAATTTCCTGTAGTGTTTTTGTGGATTTGGCTCTCAAATATGAAGAATGTTTCTTTTAATTACAGCGTGAATGTATTAGTGTTCATGTTGGACAAGCCGGAGTCCAGATTGGAAATGCATGCTGGGAGTTGTATTGCCTGGAACACGGGATCCAGCCTGACGGTCAGATGCCCTCAGACAAATCTATCGGGAAAGCAGACGACTCTTTCAACACTTTCTTCAGCGAGACTGGTTCCGGAAAGCATGTACCAAGAGCCGTATTTGTAGACCTGGAACCAACTGTCATCGGTGAGTTAACCAGTATCATAATTGTATTTTCCCCGAAATTGAATATTCCGTTTAAAGTTATGAATTCTTTTTCTATAAATGAGCAATTGGAATAAATTGTTGAATAAAGATATACATCCTTTTCAAATATGAATTATGAAAAACTTAAAAGTAACTCGATTGCAATCGATTAAACAAATACGAGGTTATAGGAAATATGCCATAAATTGAACGTATATAATAGCCGATGAATAAAATTACTTAATATTTTATTAATTGATGTCTAGTAATATCCAGTTTAAAAAAAAGCTTGCGTTCCGTTTAATAGTATTTCTTTAATTTGTAGATGAGATTCGAACCGGTGCGTACAGGCATTTGTTCCATCCGGAGCAACTTATTAATGGAAAGGAGGACGCGGCAAACAACTATGCACGTGGTCATTACACCGTGGGCAAGGAACATATCGACCAAGTCCTCGACAGGCTTCGAAAAATAGCAGATGCTTGCAGTGGTCTTCAGGGTTTCTTAATCTTCCATAGCTTCGGCGGCGGCACAGGTTCAGGGTTTTCTTCCCTCTTGATGGAGAGGCTAAGCGTCGACTATGGTAAGAAGTCAAAACTCGAGTTTGCTGTCTACCCGGCTCCACAAGTTGCGACGGCCGTCGTCGAGCCGTACAACGCCATATTAACGACACATACCACTTTGGAACACTCCGATTGCGCGTTTATGGTCGACAACGAGGCTATCTATGACATATGTAGACGTAACCTAGATATTGAACGCCCTAGCTACACCAATTTAAACCGTCTGATCAGTCAGATCGTTTCCTCAATCACAGCCTCACTCCGCTTCGACGGGGCCCTGAACGTAGATCTTACTGAATTCCAGACCAATTTAGTACCTTACCCGCGAATCCACTTTCCTCTTGCTACCTACGCCCCAGTTATTTCTGCCGAAAGAGCTTACCATGAACAAATCTCGGTCGCTGAAATCACAAATGCATGTTTCGAGCCTGCCAACCAGCTCGTCAAATGTGATCCACGTCATGGTAAGTACATGGCTTGTTGTCTTTTGTACCGTGGTGACGTGGTTCCAAAAGACGTCAACGCCGCCATTGCTTCCATCAAGACGAAGAGAACCATTCAGTTTGTAGACTGGTGCCCGACTGGCTTCAAGGTTGGTATCAATTACCAACCACCAACTGTGGTTCCTGGCGGAGATTTGGCAAAGGTCCAACGTGCCGTTTGCATGCTGAGTAACACGACTGCCATAGCGGAAGCTTGGGCCCGGCTTGACCATAAGTTTGATCTTATGTACGCCAAGAGGGCGTTTGTTCACTGGTACGTGGGTGAGGGTATGGAAGAGGGCGAGTTCTCCGAGGCGCGCGAGGATTTAGCTGCCCTTGAGAAGGATTACGAAGAAGTCGGTGTTGATACTGCCGATGACAACTGTGCAGATGAAGAGGAATATTGAACGAAAACTTGACCATATATTTTTACTCGTGAAAACAACAACATAACAACTTGGATTTCAATAATTTAAATATATCGTTCAGAATGTTTATTCCAATCTGATAAAAAAATTGAACACAACTTTTAAACAATTTATGTTATGAAAAGATTATTGATTTTAATTTGGATCTGTGTTTATTTTACTACAAGTATGTATAACCATAATAGATTATGTAAGTTTTGCTGGAAATAATGACAGCGCTGGGGTCTTTTTCTTTTTTTGTCAAAAATTCGACAAGAAATCATTGTTTTGTTTTTTCTGTTCTAAGCATAATATGCTTGAAACTTAATTACCTCCCTTGCATAATTGTCAGTTTTACGAATATTATATTTGTGAGACTGTGTTGTCATCAAGGCAGTATGTCTAATGACATTCGTCAGACGACAATGTTACAATTGCCCTATATTGAGGAGACGATAAAGCTAGATAACTGGTACAATGTAGTTACTTGCGGAAATCCAGTTAAGTGCTGGTCAAGCATCCAGGAACGCATTGGCGGTTCACATACACCAGTATATGTCTGAATCAATATCTAAATGTATATCTTGTGGCTGAAGGGTTGCTTTTAATGGTTGAAACATAAGAAATGCAGCAATCGTTAATTCCTGCGTGATTGTAAGAGGTGACTAAATGGATTAAAGTAACTGGAGTCTATATAATATAATCTCTTAGCTCAAGTAGGTGAGGTAGTTTCGATCGCTGCAGTCACTTTAAAGTTTGTAACGTCCGAGGTTAGCTAAAATCATCATTTCTGCTGTACCACGTCACATATATTGTGTTTGTACACCGTAAAACCAACAAAACAAACAAATTATCTAAATGCCATTATAAGAAAGACAACAAAAAGCAGCCGACTGACTGCAAACATCAGACCGTCACTTAAGCAGATTTTTTAATCCGAACATAAAACTATAATAGAAAATACAAATTCAGCGAAGTCAAGTAAGGTAACAATATTATACCGTATCTAATCTTATTATGATCCATGAAAAAATAAGATGATAATATAGACATATCTAGGACAAATACGCATACTGCATTCTTCATTCGTCACGAAGGACTTTAGGGTTTGTAAAATGAAGTAGGATGGAATGTTTTGAAAGTACTTCAAAACACCCAGCAAAAATATATTTTCTTACAGTGTTTTACGCAAGGAAAAAATCTGAAACATAGACTGACGTGGTTAATATACTGAAATATTTTGATATACTGTAGAAGCAATCTAAATAACGGTTAGCATTTGAAAATCTACCTTAAGTCTGGCTGACAGAGTGGTTGAAAACTTAATTTCATTCCAATTCATGAGTGTAAATCAACTTATATTTCTACTATGTCCCCATTAAAACAGTTATCACAATAATGAAAACTACATCTTAGAAGTCAAATGGTCAACATCGTTTCCAGATTGATATAATTTTATACTGAATTCATTATACGAGCCGGGCAAGTGTCGTCGGATTTTACACTTGAGAAAGCTATCCAGCTAGCTTACAAAACGTCGGCGGTTCTCCTCAGGTGCCCGTTTGTGTCTGAAATAATGAGAGCACCCGAAGTCTTCCTCCAGTAAATCTAGAAATTCGCCATATGAGCAATACTGTGTTGTTGCGATGAACAATCCAACAATCAAACACACAGACGAAATTCCTATATCTTATCAATAAAGGAATCATAGTTATAAATGCATATGTTTACACAACTGTTTGCTGTAGAAAATAACATTTGGTACCATTTAATGTGATGAAATGTCCTTTTAACAATGAAGTAAATGAACATTTCATACTTGAGTGTTCCTTGATAGTATGTGCTGTATAACATAGTGGACAGGAACACTGATATACTAGACATATACATACAGGATAAGATTATAAAGAATTTAAATGTAAACACGGGATGGGAAAGGGGAAGCTGACAGAACAGCTAATTACGGAGCCTGTTTTACACGATAGATCTATAAAATACAGTCAGCAAACCCAATTGAAGACCATAGGACCGTATGGTAGTAAAACAATGTCCGACCATGTAAGCTATGGCGTTGGATTTGAGAAAATTCTCAACAAGAAACACAACTACAACAAATGTGTGCGGACTTTTCTGTACATAAATGTACTACGTTATAAAAAAATACCATAGAAAACGTTTAGAAATCATTATAAAATAAGAATTTAATCCACGTTAGAAGAAGCTGAACAATGACAAATACAAAGTATCTAAAATGGCCAAAATATTAAGACAAATGATAACAAACAAAACAAAAATGCAAAAGACGATATGTCATAACAAACAAGTGTATTTTTCATCACAATCCATTTTAAGAGTTCTGTATGAAATATCTAAATTAAGTCATTAAATATCTTTTTTTGTAGTAACTTTCTACTTATGCTCTGTCTTTTCTTCTTAAAGTTTTCATATCTTACATAATTATAGTGTGTCTAGAGACTCGAGCCGAAATGAGTCTTACAAAGAGTGTTGACCCTTCATTGTTCACTTAATATAATGGATTTGAATTGACAACATTCCATTTGACATTCAATATCAAAATACAAAAAGGAAGTGTAGCAGACTATCCCCATCCTCTAATTTTCATGGCAGGGAATAAAAATGAGTATACAGCCTAGCTTTATACAGTTAGCAAAGCATGTTAAAAGTTAACATTGGAATACAGTACACAATTACTTCTTACATTTACAATTTTTAAGATTATTATTCATTTTCATTTTCAAAAATCTGCCATTTTCGTTTTATTTCTATCCACCCATTTAGGGAAACCGGATGTTTTTTGGAGAATGTGAACTAAAGCTTTGCAGTATCCTTCGGCAGTATGTGAGTTTTCAGGCACGTCTCCAAACAATTCTTCAAAGTACTCTCTTGCTTTGAACGATCGGCTAGCTGAAGGAAGATTCGTCGGTAATGACTTAATCGTCTTTAATCCTCCAGTTGTTACTCGTTCCCGCGCTTTTTCGGGTTCAGTTTTCGATCGTTTCAATGATGGTTTTGCAGCATCACTTGCCTTCCTTTTGGTCGAAACTCTATGTATATCAGAAGGCTCGTTTTGCGTAGATAGCTCCCTTACTGCATTAAGACTGTCGGCACAAAACATGTTTGCAAATTCCTCAAAATCACCTGTTCTTTCAAGCTCATTTTTCAGGACTGGAAAATCGAACCCATTGCCGAAGTGTGCAATCAGGCAGTATGGCTTTTTCAAGTGATCTAAAAACGACTTAATTAAGGAAACAGTGGACGTTGTGAAAACCTGCTGTTTCGACAGTAGCTCTTCGCTCAGTTCTGGAAGAATACAATTAAAATGCAGATTAAATTATGTCTAAAGGAATAGATCAAACTTTAATTCTAAATCATAGATAAGTACGAAATCTAAATAAAGATCTTTAATCCACGATTACATCTTGGACAATCACTTTTATTTAATATTTTTCTTGAATACGACAATACCATAATAAAATAATATACATTTGAACAAGGCTACATTTGACTTATCACTAAAATGTGTGTACCGTTTCGAGAAATTCAATTAATGCTCCGAAATCTAATTTTTCCAATAAACGCACAAAAGTCGCTTGATTATCATAAAATGTAAAAACGTTCATCAAACAGGGAATATTATAGGTATATTATCAGGTCATGCACAGTCTGTGGTATGGACTAGTCCAGTGGTAACGAGTTTGACTATCAATCCAGATGGATCGCACGTTCGATCCACCACTCCATAACTATTAATACTAATGAACTTTAGTATGAGAACAACTTTGGTAGAAGTACATCAAACAATGTTTCATGACAAATATCTAAGAGTTGGCCTATTTTTTCCTTTCGGTAGGTAGCCATGAAAACCAGAGTTCTGTATGGAAAGCAATGTTCTGAATTCCGGGAACTTATAGACATCCATATCTTCTGAAAAGCCTCGTTGTCAGAGGATTGGTAACATTTGAGTATTAAAAATCTAGAGTTATGATAAGTTTAAATCATGAAGAAGAAGATGAAGAAGAACTTTTATTTGTACTAAAGCCCTTAAAAAGAGCCATTGACAAACCATCAACATATATATATATATATATATATATAATATATTATATATATATATGGACTGTGTTTTTTGTTTTATTTATATATATATAAAGCAGAAACATGACAATATACGTGACAAGAAGTCGTGATGGCATGTAGAAAACATAGTTTTGACTTTATTTTGAATTATTTCACTGTGTTTATAAGGCAGAGATAATTATACAAATTAGATGAATTTCGATATAAAAAAGCATATTTGAACAAACTTAAAATAACTCGATACACATTACGGGTTTTTACTAGATAGTGATAAGATTACATTCGCATGACTGCACGCTTTAGCAAACCGATCATTAAATTGAGGCCAGTTAACACCCGACACCATAAATTATATAGTAGCAAGGTAATACACAGCATCTCCATCAGTTTAATCTCCAAATATCGCTTTATCCTACTTAATGTAAGGCAAATTAAGGTTTTCTTTATTTTAATTATCAGGCTAAGGGATAATGATAGAAGCATGCTCAATATTTAAGATCCTATTTAATTATTTGAGGTACACAACCATTTTCTTGCCATTAAATAGTCAAACGACATGTTGCCCTGTTGCACTTTAGCATATACACTAGTACTTTGTAATATAAAATATATATAACTGTCGCTGTAACGCAAATCAACAACAAACTCTTGTTTTTATTTTAGTAACATTTTTAACACTTTCATAAAAAACTGACGGAGTTTTCCGGAATTATAGATCAATATTATAAGGGATTCCTAAATATTGAGAAATGGGAAACCTTTAAATACATTATAGATGTTTACATAAACTTATTTATATTCCGATTTAACAATTGTGGGGTGTACTTCAATCCACAAGGGTTTAGTGACTAGAATAGCCCAAAAAAGACCCTAAAACATTTACAAAATCAGTTTGACATGTTTATAATTTTTATGTGAAGCAGGTGTTGAAATACATGAAAATAACCTTACTTGATATGTCCTGTGCTTTCTCTGTAAGGTCGGCATCTGGATCTAAACACAACACAAGTTTATTGACAACTCGCGGTAACAATGGTCTACCATGTCCATCATATTTTAAAGTATCCTTAAAACTTTTTCTATCTAATGCCATCATACATATCTCCGTGATTCTGCAAGGGTCGTCTTCCGGTAAACATGTTGTATTTAAATGAAGAAACACGTAAGTTTTTACTCGGTTGGCTTTGTCGCGTGTAGTTGCCATTATTACTTCCGCCAAACAATTGAAATAAATGTATTTTCAAATCGTTTCATTGAAACGCTTTACATGAAAGGTGGCGACAAAATATTTGTTATCTTGCGGTAATTTGATATTATTTATTCAACAATAAAGCAAGCAAAAACAATGTAGTCTTAAACAGCTCGACATATTTAGCGATAAATATTAGACAATTCTTTTAAAATATCTGAAATAAAACAGCAAACGACAGCATGCCCTCTCTACCCCGCCTACATCCCTCGATTGTATATTATGTTGCTAGTTGGTGCCCCTATCATTGGATTGTGGGATTTAATATGGGTTTGCACGATTTGGTTAAGTTGCGAGGTTTTATATTCTAATAATTTGTCACAAACTTTCCCAGGGTGGTTCAGGGCAGATCATTTTTATCCATCTAATTATTAAGTAGTAAACAAAAACATTCAAAAAGATCTCGCTATTTTTATAATTATCATTTAAAAGAATATTTTTGTTGTAATTCTTTATATTTCCCCTGTTTTAACAGTTTTAAACCATGAGGTCTCGTAAAATGAAACATTTTGAATCCTAAAAATTCAAGGTAGAGTCCTTCATGATCACCAATTGAATATCTTCCGACCCGATTAACACCATTTTCTTGACCAAACCGCGGTAAATTTAAATAATTACAGTTTATGCAAAAAATTACAATAATAACTTCGTACAAAATATGCCGTATTGTGCCCAAAATATTGATTGATATAAATAAGTTTAAAAAACGTAACACACACAAGTAAAGTGACCAAAATATTTTGCAGTGAACAAAATTGTAAGTAATGAATTTAGGGTTTCAAAATTTATTGGCTATCGACGTGCAAACTGTCTTTGGCCATATTTACACAAAAAAACAACAACAACAAAAAAAACAACAACAAAAAAAACAGAAAAAAACAACATATACTAGTATGACAGATAGTTATATGTTTATATATAAAAGCATACACAGAAAAAATATTATAATTATTATTTCTAGCATAATATTTTCCAGCGTATTATTTCTTAACGTAAAAGAATCTTTAATATATTCAGCAATTTGTTTTCTTGTTCATAGTTGACATAAAACTATTTAAAATATTCTTACTAATGAATGAGCGCATGTGACTGCAAACCTAATGAAAAATATTTTCTGAATATTTTTTTGCGAGAATAACAACCTATTTATAAAAGTTGGTTCAGGAGAGCTAAATTATGTGTGTAACACGAAATTGATATCATTTTCTGAAAATATAACATTTTGTACACAATGTTATCTCCGGGACGTCCGAGGCTGAGTGGTTATGGCCGATGTTGTAATTATAAAATAAAAATATATCAATTAAAATACAAGCAGGAGTATTGAAACGCAATACCAAGGATATCACGAAAAAGAGAATGACCCCTTATTGTGTCCCTTGTAACTGGCGGCATGACATAGAGAGACGTGGATTATAAAATACAACAGTTATGAGTAAGCGCATTCTATAGAATATAATTATCAAATAACTTGGTGGCAAATAAATTATGGAACATAACAGCTATAAAAAATGACCGGGCTTAGAATCCACAGATATTAAAAAGAAAACACAAAATGATTAAAGAGAATTAACAAATATGCAAATGAAAATGTTGTCACAATTTCATATTTAAACTGTCGTAAAAGGTTTTTTTCTGACTATCGTTTTATTGTGAAAAATGTTTAAAATAAACGGAATGCATTACAATATATGTACACGTGATACCGAGTATTAAATAAAAAAGACTATTAAAGTTAGCTTAAAATATTTTGGTTTTTGGCAGCAACCTTCAACTTATGGGGCTTGAAATACTGGTAGGCCTTTTCATAGTTTACAACCAACATGAGTAAAGGATTTTTTTGGGATTACAGAATGAACGCCATGTTTCACGAAACCTAGTATTGTGAGCGTGGATGTTCTACGTTGGAATGAAATCTTCAATTAATTAATTTTCGAATAAGTTTATCAATTTGTTTGGACACAGGTAACCAAATTAAAGATATAAATCGTGTATGACCAATATGAGATCTTGGGTCAAAATTCAGGACAAACCAAATTTTTCAACTTATTGAGTTACTAGAATTTAATTTATACCCCTTTTTTCAAAAAAAAAGGGAACAGGCATAGAAAGAATAATTTGGAAGCGCCCCGAAACCCAAACAGGTTTTTAGCATTTTGGATGAAATTTTTTGGGTTTAATTTAGCGAAAAAATTTAAATTTCAAAGGTCTTTTTCCCTAAAAAAGCCCCTATTTTTTAAAATTGGTCAACCTCGGCTTTTTTTTTAAAATTTTTAAAACCAGTTTTCAACAAAAAAAGGTCAAAGTTTTTTTTTGGGGTTCAACAGTTTGAATATCATGTAAAACAGTTTGGAAAACAAAAGACCCTTTTAAAATAGAAACCTTGGGGAACCCCCTAAAAAAAGATTTGAGAAAAGAGGAAAAAAAACCCCGAAACACCAAAAATGTTTGTGGGTTCCGAAAAGGTGCGATTTTGAAAACCACATAAAGACGTTACCAAGACCTAAATCTTCCATCAAAGTATATGGTCTTCAGTATTTAAGCATTTTGAAATTAAAAAAAAAAGAATAGAGTAGGTCTAGATATCTTAACCATTGTACTTCTTTAAACTATTTCTTCAATTATAAAAAAGAAGATTGCAACTAATAGGGCAATAATTTGAATTCCAAGATCAACAAATCCGCGAAAACTTCCTTTTAATGCTTGACGGAAAATGGGGTGGAAAACCAGGGATCAAAGGTAGGTATCACTAACAATACTATCTTTCTGAAGGATCTGATCCTAAAAATAACTATTTACTATGCCTCCCAATATAAGATAAACCAAAGTTTTATTAAAGCATCTTAAGAATGAAAAATCGGATATTTTTGTAAAATAATAACAATACGAAAATCCGATTTTTCCGACTAGCACATTTGAGATAAATCGCACGCGACTACATAAATGAGCATTTCTGAATAGTATTGTAATATTTAAAAAGTGGTGTATCAAGTTATTTTCCGTTTTGTATAGAACAGATTTTGTTTGGTAAATTATTTTCTTTAAAAATATCTTTTTGTGTGTGTGGGCGGGATGGGGGAGAGAAAGTAAACTTAGTAAAGGTAGATGTAATTCATGTAAGAATGTTGTAATAATCTGCAATAAATATGTATATTTTACATTTGTTTCTTTACAGTAGCAGTAGGCCTTAACAATCCACGCACTTACTATTAGAAGATTAAACTGTGTGAACGTGATTGTTACTACTTACTACATAAATGTAAATTTTACATTTGTTTCTTTACAGTAGCAGTAGGCCTTAACAATCCATGCACTTACTATTAGAAGATTAAACTGTGTGAACGTGATTGTTACTACATAAATGTAAATTTTACATTTGTTTCTTTACAGTAGCAATAGGCCTTAACAATCCATGCACTTACTATTAGAAGATTAATATGGAAAGCCATGGCTGTCTGATATTGTTCTTTTTCAATTTATGGAACCATTCTGATAATATATGAGTTCACTTCGACTATATATGAATTGAAAACACCTTCTTATTAAACCGGAATCCATTATATTAATCCACAGTTACAATATATGAAACCATACTGTCAGTGTATGAAAACCGAGTTAGCAAATAATATAAATTGATTTTTCTCAAAATTATATATGATTCCAATTCTTCAATATATGGTACCAAAGAAGCAATGTATGGAACCAGATGTCCTTATATGAAACCAAATTATCACTATATTAATTCATTTTTACAATATATGAAACCATTTTATCAATGTATGGAGCCGAAGTATCAATATATTAGTTGATTATCACATTATATGATTCCAATTCTTCAATATATGGTACAAAAGTAGCCATATATGGAACCAGATGTCCTGATATGAAACCGAGTTATCAAATTGAATATATTAATTCATTTTTACAATATATGAAACCAATTTATCAATGTATGGAACCAAAGTAGCAATATATGAGTTGGTTATTACATTATATGATACCAATTCTTTAATATATGGTACCAAAACAGCCATATATGGAACCAGGTGTCCTGATATGAAACCGAATTATTAATATATTATGTCATTTTTACAATATATGAAACCATTTTATTAATGTATGGAATCAAAGTAGCATTATATAAGTTGATCTTACATTTTCATTATATGGAACAAAAATAGATAGATAGATAGATATTTATTCAGGTTTTAACACACATATACATAATACAAACACTTAAGCATTTTATATAAAACTGATGACACAATAGTAATAAAATATTTCGGAAGTTTGTCAAACATAGATATCACAGACCGCTCATTAAATAATTAAATATAATAACTAAAAACAAAATCTAAAACTCTTTCTTTCCTATGGACTGATAATCAATTTTACTAGTTTAATAAAATGTGACGACGAAAGTGGAAAGCATGTAATAGAGTAGTGTGTGTAATAACCTCGGATTGCCCATGAAAGCCGAAGGCTTATTTCCAATGGGGTCCTTGGGAATATTAAACTTACTTATAATATACCAAATTGAAAAAATAACAAACTTTGGAAGCTGGAAAGATGTCATTTACCGTAAAAATATCAAACTTTTTCCATTAACTTTGGGCTAAAAGGAAAACAATAAAAATTAAAAATCAATATCTAGTCATACTAGTGAATTTAATTATGATTTCCTAACTGTTCTAAGTAAAAGTGCCTTCACTGAAGCTTTTGAAATCTCCTATCTTTACTAATTTTTTGATGGCATGTAGGCAAGGAATTCCAATCATTAATTGCTTTTTGAAAAAAAAAGTTAACATTATCTTTCCCATAACTTCTTGGGACCCCTAAAAATTATACTGATTCCGCCCGAGTTGAATAAGAATGAATGTCTTTAAAATAGTGATTCCCCTTTCATATATGAAGGGCACTGGTTATTAAACAATTTTTAAAAAACCATGATTAAAATCGTAATTGCTTATTTTCTGTTTTCTACATTTAGTAAAGACTTATTAGCAAGAATAACATTATTGACACTATCACTCTAGGGTCCCATAACCGTGTTATAAATCTAACCAATTTTATTTTGGGACAAATTTGAAGCTTATTTTAAAACCACTTTTGTTCAGAATTCGGGTACCAGAAGAAACATGCATAAATCAAGGTGACATTGTATTAATGCTGAGCATAAATGTTTTTCCTAGTCCTAAAAAAAAAAAAAAAAAAAAAAAAAATCTAAAACATTTTGCTTGCCTATGACAAAAACTTAAGACGTGAATCAACCTTTGTAAGAATACTATTAACAAATAGATTCACCACTGACAAAAAATCATCAATATTTTTAAACCTAAGAATTTGACAGATTTTGTGGATTCAATTGTAATGTCCATTTTACAAACAATTTTAAATTCTTTAACTTGTTTTTAGTTTACGTTTTAACCAAAAATAAGACATTCAGTCTTCCTAAGATGAAGTGACAATTTGTTATCTAGCAAGCCAAGATGAACAAGACTCTAGTGTTTGTCCCAAGGGTTTTTGAGAAAAATAAATACTTGGTTTTTGTGGGCAAAAAGAATTGCAATGTCATCGGCAATACAGAATAAGTTTACATTCTTATCTATACTTAAAATTCTCAATGTCATTCACATAGCATTAAAAACATAAAAGAGGACCCAGGAATGCTGCCCTGGGGAAACCCCACATGTAAACAGGCAATATAATCTGATAAAATATTAATCAAAAACACTAAACAGTTTATTGTGTTTTTGATAAAGACATAAACCAGAGTCTTAGAGAACCATCAATTCAGTTTTTCCCCCATAAAATATCGAACAGTAAATCAAATTGCTTTTTGTAGAAATCTAAACATTAATCCAAGCCTGTGTATAAACCTGTGGAATTATTGTTTCTGATATGAATCCTAAGATCGATACGACAAGTGTCAGTGGAATAGGAAAATTTCTAAAACCATGACTGTAATTATACAATAAACCATTAAATCAACTAAAATCTTTTTAAGTTGAGAATACACTGATTTTTCTAAAAAATTTTTGATACAATGCTTAAAAAATGCTTACAGGTCTATAATTTCCTACTTCAAGATTACTGTTCTTTTTATATAAAGGTTTTACCCTAAGCTACTTTCATGCCATCAAGGGACATAATTTTTTCTGAAATTGACATATTTATGATAAAAGTAATTGGTATTTTCAAAAAGGAAGCTGCCTATTTTTAAGTCAACAAGTCAAAGGCCGAGGTCACTGGGTTCTGTTTACAATAGTTACAATGCATACACTTTTTCATGAAATCAATTATTATTTGGCTTATTATTTTTAAACTTTGTGAGTAGATTAACCTTGATGTGTCCTACTGGCTATGCCCATTTTTGATCAAAGGTAAAAGTCGAGATGAACTTATTTTTTAAATATGTATTTGTTAATGGTCAGTACGACTCAATAGCTTAAATTATGACATACAACTCGTACATATGTAACGATAAGTTTGCCTGCCAAGCCCATTTTAAGTGAATGTGACGTTAAATTCAAGGATTTCCTTATTTAGAAAATGTGCAGTATGCAATCAGTGAAGCACGCTGGTCTTTTGACAGTTCAACAAAGAATATTGGCGCGAAACTGTTATACCGGTGCTAGGATAGAAAACAGTCTTTTTAAAAAAAGTCCCGTCAATATAATGACATTTTTGGTTCCATATATTGCTACTTTGGTATCAGTATATTGAAGAACTGGTATCATATAATGTGAAAATCAACTTATATATTGCTCTTTCGGTTACATACATTGATAAACTGGTTTCATATATTGTAAAATTGATTTAATATATTGACAATTCGGTTTCACATAAGGGCATCTGGTTCCATACATGACTTACTTGGATCCATATATTGAATATCTGGTATCATATAATGTGATAATCAACTTATATATTGATACTTCGGCTTTATACATTGATAAAATGGTTTCATATATTGTAAAAATGAATTAATATATTGATAATTCGATTCCATATAAGGACATCTGGTTCAATTCATGGCTACTTTGGTACCAAATATTGAAGACCTGGTATCATATAATGTGACAATCAACTTACATATTGATACTTCGGTTCAATACATTGATGAAATGGTTTCATATATTGTAAAAATGAATTAATATATTGATAATTTGGTTTCATATAAGGACACCTGGTTCCAAACATTGTTACTCTAGTTCCATATATTGAATAATTGGTATCATATAATGTAATAACCAACTCATATATTGCTACTTTGGTTCCATACATTGATAAAATGGTTTCATATATTGTAAAAATGAATTAATATATTGATAACTTGGTTTCATATAAGGACACCTGGTTCCATATATTGTTACTTTGGTTCCATATATTGAATTATTGGTATCATATATTGTAATAACCAACTCATATATTGCTACTTTGGTTACATACATTGATAAAATGGTCTCATATATTGTAAAAATGAATTAATATAGTGATAACTTGGTTTCATATAAGGACATCTGGTTCCATACATTGCTACTTTGGTTCCATACATTGATAAAATGGTTTCATATATTGTGACAATGAATTAATATATTGATAATTTGGTTTCATATAAGGACACCTGGTTCCATACATAGCTACTTTGGTTCCATATATTGAAAAATTGGTATAACCAACTCATATATTGCTACTTTGGTTCCATACATTGATAAAATGGTTTCATATATTGTAAAAATGAATTAATATATTGATAATTCGGTTTCATATCAGGACATCTGGTTCCATACATGTCTACTTTGGTACAATATATTGAAGAATTGGAATCATATATTGAAAAAATCAACTTATATATTGCTAACTCGGTTTCATACACTGAAAGTATGGTTTCATATATTGTAACTGTGGATTAATATAATGAATTCCGGTTAAATAAGAAGGTGTTTTCAATTCATATATAGTCGAAGTGAACTCATATATTATCAAAATGGTTACATAAATTGAAAAAAAAAACAATATCAGACAGCCATGGCTTTCCATAGTTTAAACTGTGTGAACGTGATTGTTACTACATAACTTCATGACTCATGTCAGGAAACCAATCTAAAAATAGAAAGGCAAAACCCATTTGATACTATTTTTAAATAAGCTTGGCGTAGGAGAAGGGAAATTGTGAAGTTATGTAAGTTTTTCAAAATTGTTGTTGCATATTTTAACTTGTTGTTAATCACTTTATTTTGATTTAAATGACATTTAGGTTTTGTTATAAAGTTATACAATAATGTTAAATAGCATGATGGTTAAAGTTTCACTTATCTCTATTTAGCGTGACATAGAGAGGAAGTACCTCTAAACGATGCAAATCTACTCTAATTGACACGGTACACATTTTGCAGATGCACAGGTCATTTTCTACCGCTAGTCAGTACTTAAATTAACCGCCTCCGGGGTCGAGGGGTTGGAGTCGATGACTTCTTATCCAGTTACCTCTCTGGCGTGGGTTCGATCCCCGGGAGATGCTTTGGTAGTTTAGCGCGGAGGAAGGTAGTCTAGTACTGGTGTAACTCTCCAGGAACGATGGTTATGAAACTACCCGCCTTTATGACTGAAATACTGTTGGGAAAAGGCGTACAATGAAACAAACAAACAAACACTACTGTACTTAAATTAATGTCAAGTCAGATGAAAGAAGTATACGATATCCTATACGTTGGACAGTTGGAATTGAAGTCATTTCTTTTTTTTTAAATTGTATCAGCTAGTTTTCAAAAAACGATACTCAAAATTAAGGTTTACTCAATATCGCAATTTACTATCTCGCCAACCGCCGGAGCAAATAGATAATGGATTGAGCACGTATTGATTTATTTATCATCTTCATTGAGGCTTAAAAGTGGTATGGTGCACTTGTCCGAGATAAAATTACAGACATACTTAGTTTGAAACAGTTCAGATTTTTTCCTACAGACAATAAAAGCTGAAAGCCGCTACATGTAAATAACTCAATCATAACTCACTAATTTCTTACTTATTGTTCTCATTTTTCAGTTCAAATAACTTAGTGTAAAACTAACCTGAACTTCAATTTGCAGATGCCTATCGATCACCATGGGGGATAAATATTGCCGTCTTGCAACCTTGTTGGTTGAAATTTGTCCTCAACCATTAAGAAAACTTTTTCTGAAGTACATGTATGCGGACACCAAATTTCACATTTCTTCTCTTGGTGCTTACTTGCTTGCCAGACAGAAAGAATTACTTCCTTTGAAGTCAAAGAAGGTAATTAATCAAGAGGAATGGGATTTGCTTTTTCCAAAATTAGGTCAGGCAGATGAAACTACATGGGACACAACTATCTTGGCACTATTGATAACCAAGTTGTTTCAAAAGCAACTTAAACAAAGTGAACGTGATGCAATTGAAGAAATTCGTTACATTAGAAATCAGCTCCACCACAAAGCAGATTTATCAGTGTCTGACGCAGACTTTGATGACTTATGGAAAAGGCTTGAAACAGCAACTATACTGTTGGCAAAACAGATAACACCAATTCCGCAATACGCAGTTGACATCAAAGCAAGTATTGATGATGCAATGGTAAATAACTTACCAAAATTGGGAGACACCCTACGATCATGGATTCCAGGTATCGTAAAAAGTTTAAACTTACAAATTAGCAACTTGGAAGACAATATGAGAAGACTCAAAGAAATCACAGAAGAAAATTTAAAATGTTCCAAAGAAAGTCAAACAATATTGGAAGATTCGTCCGTAGAAAAGATTGGATCATCAGGTAATCTTTAAGTGTGACATATCCTAAACAATTATGTTTTGTGTTATTTGTTTTTATGAATATATGATAATAATGTATATGATAATATTCATTAATCTAATGGCCTCTGTAAATAAAGTAAATGAACTCAATTTAATGGAAAGATGAACTCAGTGTTCATAGATGCATATCGATTTAACAATAGATTTCTTACAAGACAAGTTTCACTTTTTCGCATTTTCAAACCACAATTTTGAAAATTCGTTGTATGTCAATTCCAGGCAGAACGGCGAAGCGGCTGAAGACATGTGATAACATACTCATAAGTCTCATTCGTGAGTACTATTTGCTTAATATTTCCTTTCCCCGTTTAATTTTTGTTTGATAATGATATGTATTTAGACCCTCAATGACGCAGTCAATTTGCATAATTTAAATAGATTTAATCCTCTGTATTTTGGTTTCTCATTCTTAAATGTGACCTTATCTGATTATACTTCTTTATTTGTGTAAAGTTTTGTTTTCAAATTAAATAGTTTTACTATAATTATTCTTCAAGTATTGATGTCTTCTGTTGATTAAAGAGTGTACTTGCCGATTGCTCACACTTTCTGATTTGATATTGGGGTTGCTAATATTTTAGGAATGTTCAAGACAACACTTTATGAGAAACTACCAACAGATTTTGAAACACCACCTGAAGTACAAAGCATCAAGGCTAAACTACTTCAAAATGGCCACGTTGTTGTAACTGGACTCCAAGGGAGTCGTGTCCTCGAGACAGCCCTCGCTACCGTCAGGGATCTTCCTTATAACCATGAACGATGTGTTGAAATTAAGGCAGCATCTGACTGGAGACATGTAGATCGAGAAGAAGTTGATTTAGTGCTATGCACTTATCCGTTTGGTGATTTCCATCTAGACTATAAGAAGGCAGCGGACATGAATGAGATTCTTAATAGCATGTATCAGGCAACCAAACCTTCTGCTGGGAAACAACCGTTGTACATAGTAATTGTTTCAGATGTAGATGTTTTTCAAAAATTTACAACAAAATTTCAGCACAAAATACTAGCTGAAGTTGTGAGCGTTTGTCCAACTACCAGCGTAGAAGCCCCCGTTGATTTGACATGTATGTACTTACATTTTTTACACAAAAATGAATTTATTTCAACCATGTCGTAAATATGATAATCTTCTACTTTAGTACTTCTTTAATGAATCTATTTTGCTTTTTAACAGTACTGGCAACTTTATAGTTCTTAGTAAATATATGTATATACCTGTAAAACGATTGTTGGTCGCTTGTATATATCATTCAGTAAACAATGCATATTTTTCATTGTTGACATGTATCTCCACTTAACTGGTTCGGCGGACAAACAATAAAATGAAAACAAAACGTGCTAACAGTACCAAGGACAGCAATATAAATGGAAAAAATATTTCAGGTTGAGACATATTTAATCTATGCTAAATCATCTACCTATATTTGTATAATATGTTTGCCTTATTTCAGATCCAAACACAAATACAGAACTTGACATAAATCCTTGCAACCAAAATCTCCTTGGTAGGTTTTCTTCTTTTGTTCTTTTATTAATGAATACGTTAACATGCTAGAAAATGTTTGAATTCAAGAATGTTCATTTCTTTTTTCATTTTGAATGTTGTTTTCCTTTTGACTTTTTCAGAAGCTTTTATACTTGAGAGAGTTTCAAGAATATTTAAATAACTAAATCACAGTGGCATACTCCTGTGGCGTGGGGGATTTTTATACTCCCCGAAGTGAGACTATATTATTGCTGCCTTGTCTGTTCGACCGTTCGTCACATTCTTGTCCGGAGAATAACTTAAAAAGTATGTGACGAATTTGATTTAAACTTCACAAAGTGACAGCGATCATTGAGAGGAAGTACATTTAATATATTAACAAATGTGCAGGTTCAAGGAGCATCCGTTTCCTAAAGCAATTTCTTGTTGTGTATAGTATATTATCAAAATTATATATTTGACGTAAGAGTTAAGGATATTAAAATATCAAGGCCATACTTGAATTTCAAGCATGTGTTGTCTTTCTAGAGTTGTTTTTTCAAATAATGAGTCAAATCTGTACATCAATAACAAAGTTATGACATTTTTCGGTCAAATAGTGTCGCCGTGAAAATGCGGATAGTAATGCTCAAGTTACATGGAAACGTAACATCTTTAAAATTATTGATTCGCGTATTAATTTTTATCGCGGAAATGAGCATCTTCTGCCACCTTAACCATGACTTACTTTAAGACTTCTGAAAAAGGATATTCTAGTTTTTCATTCAAAATTTGTTTGGTGTCAGCAGACAATGCAGCTAATAATATTATAATTGTATGACGTATCCAATATATTAACGTTTAGCATAATGAACATAATAGTACCAATGCGTATTCTAAAACGTCTGCCTCCGAAAAAGACATTGAAACAATCATAATGATAAAAATAAATATCACTAATATTTCCAGTATTAAAGTCAAAATTAATGAAAGAGAACTTAAACTTCCTATTATGTATTGGATTCCTGAATTACATTAAAAAAAAAACTTACAAAGCCAGATTCATTGTTAATTCCACTTCTTGCACTATAAGTAAACTTTCTATTTTTACTGACGCCTGGTTTGACTGCCATTAAAACACATGTATGTAATTAGATATTGTGATATAGTCTATGAAAACACAGATAAATATCTCTTTTGGTCTATAAAATATCTGGTGAAATCTTGGATAAATTCAAAATTAAGAACTATCAAGCTTCAGTTGTCAGTAAAAACGATTTTTCTACACTTTATTCAACTTTGCCACATAAATTAATTAATGATAAACTAATTTCCCTTATTCAGAAAACTTTGGCATGGGAAAAACTTACCTTTCCTGCATGTCATTCTAACAAATCGTTTTTTTTTTACCTGCGGTAATGTTAAACATTATACAATGTGGACCTGTGACGAAGTTTGTAGCGCACTTTCTTTTCTTTTAGACAATATTTATGTCAGGTTTGGAAATACCGGATTTAAACAGATCATAGGAATTCCAATGGGTACTAATTGTGCACCCCTGGTCGCGGATTTGTTTTTGTACTGCTATGAAAGAGACTTTATGATGAGTCTTTCTGAAAATACACAAAAGATGTCATAATACTTCTAGATACTTTGATGATATTTTTACTTTAGATAATTCTTATTTTGATAAAATGGTGTCTGATATTTATCCTCATGAACTTCGACTTAATAAAATGAACATTTGAAATTTTTGGATCTTCATATAACTGTCAACAACAATTCTATTCACACCAAATCTATGATAAAAGAGATGACTTTGACTTTTGTATAGTTAATTATACACGGACCAAGTGGGAGACTCTATGATGGACAGTTCTTAAAGCTCTTTGGGACTGCATTGCCTTCATGTTCGTCTTCTGTCTTGCTTTGTCGGGCCCTTGTAGGTGTTTTCTTGTTACTCTGTCTTCCTTAAAGTCATTAATTAATTGAGTACTTTTGTTATGGTCATTGGGTTTTCATCATTTTGGTGTTTTTATATGTTATCTACATGATCATTTTGGTTTGTAACCATAAAAACTGTTAGAATTTCACTTTGCGGGGATTCTTTTTATTTACACTTGTCTCGTTTATGAAAAAAAACATGGTGGGCTAAGATTAAGGTTGGTGCACCATTAACCGTTAAACTCCCCAGTATTTCTTATGCTTCTGACTGGTCCAAGGCGGCGCCCCTCTGTATTCCTCAGATGTATGTCTTATTGTTTTATACTGTTTTGGTGACACTTTTGTTTGTGTCCCTTGTTGTTTTCTCGTCTACGGTAAGTATCTTCCCTTTTGCTCCTAGTTCTGTTTCTTTATTAAGTCCCCCCTCCCCTAAATGTCCTTTTGCTTAGTGGGCCTATTAATCCGTTATTTTATTTTCATATGCCCGAGAATTTTTCGGCATATATGTTATACCTCCTGGCGTCCTGTTCCGTTCCGTCTGTCCGTGCCGTCCGTCGTCGTCGTCGTTTAGCTTGGTTTCGGGCATATTAAGTTTCATTATGGCCCACAATTCAAACTGTCATTAGGATGATTGTCCCATAATTGGGTAGAAGACCCCTATTGATTTTGGGTCATAAGGTCAAAGGTCAGAGTCACTATGACCTTAAAACTGAAAACGTTAGCAATTTGGTTTTCCGGAAGCATAACTTAAGTTCCTATTTGAGGCCCACAATTATTCAAACTTCATATGCGATGATTGTCGGATATTGGGTAGAAGACCCTTATGATTTTGGGTCATAAGGTCAAAGGTCAAGGTCACTATGACCTTAAACTGAAAACAGTTTTTCGGAGCATAACTTAAGTTCCATTTGGCCCACAGTGTTCAAACTTCATAGGATGGTGATTGTCCATATTTTGGTAGAAGACCCCTATATGATTTTGGGGTCACATTAGGTCAGGTCAAGGTCACTTATGACCTTTAAAACTGAAAAAAAACAGTTTTCCGGAGCATAACTTAAGTTCCATTGTCCCTACAGTGTTCAAACTTCATAGGATGATTTGTCCATATTGGTAGAAGACCCATTTAGCTTTTTGGGGTCACAGGTCAAAGGTCAGGTCACTATGAACCTTAAAACTGAAAAAGTTCTGGAGCATAATTAGTTCCATTTGGCCATCAGTGTCTCAAATTCAAAAGGATGATTTACGATATTGGGGAGAAGCACCCCTTTTGATTTTTGGCGGTCAAAGATAAAAGGTCAAAGTGTCACTATATTACTAGAACTGAGAACATTTCCGGAGCATAAACTTAGTTCTATTATGGGTCCCACAGTGTTCAAACTTATAAGATGATTGGGTCCATATTGGGTGAAGACCCTATGATTTTGGGCAACAAGGTCAAGGTCAAGTTCACTATACTTAGAAATTGAAAACATTTCTTGAGCTAGACTTTAGTTCCATTTAGCCCACAATATTCAAACTTCATAGGATGATTGTTATTTGAAGGAGGTAATACTTTATTTTAGTCCCATGTCTTACAAATGCTTCATCTTTACTAAAAAAAGAAAACACTTTCGGGCATATAATGCTCCGCCTAGCGGTGCTCTTGTTTTACTTTTATTTTGATTTCTTTGTCGGTTGCTATTATTTCTTATGTAAAATTTGGGGGATGGGCCTGTCCGTGTTCTCCCTTGCATCCTGTCCTGTTTTTGTTTCGGGTCCTCCTGGGCTCTTTGCCGCTGGTTCTTGTTGCTTGGTCGTGTAGGGGTTACGTTCATTGAACGCCGCCTTTCCTTGTTGATCTTGTTTATCATATTTTAAATATATTGATTTGACAATGATAGTCAAGGGCATTTAAAGGGTAGGTCATTTTTGAGTTAATTTTATTATGGTGGTTAATGAGTTAATTAATTTTAATATGGTGGTTAAGCGTCAATGGATTTAGCAATGGGTTGAACTAATCTCACTGTTGATGTCAAATAAACGTCAAAATCAAGTTTCATCAAACATTTTCTTTTGCCCGTTCGTCTGTCTGTCATTCCGTTAATCCAAAGGAACAGGGACCTTGCCATAACTCAAAAGAGTACAAAGGTTATGTTGATTATACTTGGTATGTGCATAGAGTACCATAATGAGATCATTAACATTACAAAATTTTCATTCATCTGTCTGTCTGTCAATGTATGTATGTCTGTCATTCCGTCCACCAAAAGAAAAATGTACAAAAGCAAGGTTGCTGGTACTTAGTATTGGTAAAGAGAACAACACAGAGAACAATTTAGAAATAACCTCATGTACACGTTCTTTTTCATTCCGCCTGTCTGTCATTTTGTACAGAAAACCTGATCCTTCCATATCACAACTAGAACTGTCGCTGAATGCGATTCATACCCCCACCAATGTCCTTGATAGAAGATGACTTGAAAAGGTGGTTTAGGAAATAACTTTAGCGGCACAAATACATATGCATAAAAAGAAATTATCTATGGTGAAAAAAGACAAATTGTACAGGTAATAGTGTAAATATATATATTGTCAAATCATGTTCGAAATACTTACAAAAAAAACTTTCATTTATCCAATGTACTAAAACAAACAAAAGCAGTGAAGTTAAAAAATAGCATAATTATGTCAAATGTAATTACTATTAAGAGTGGAAAAACTTTGCATACTGAGCTTACTTGTGACCCTTCATGTTATACCCCCACTTTTTTAGTTATGAAACTTGACATGCATATTTTACTTGCGACACTTCGTATATATTTGAAGTTTCAAATGATTATCTGTTCTAGTTTTAGAAATATTCAAGTACATGTTAAAATTTTAGAACATTTTCTAAGTCAATTTTTGACCTTCAAGTGTGACCTTGACCTTAAGCCGGCACAAAGGTAACATGGGTTCTGCACATAACCTTGTTAAGGTGACCATTTGAGTAAAGTTTGAAGAAAATTCTTCCATTAGTATAGGATTTATAGAGCCGACATGACATACATGTATAGTCTATTATTATATAATCTATAAATAGCTTTGAAATGCCTTTCCCTGATTGGCTAACAAGCAACTTTTTGTAAAAAATAACAGGTCAATATCAGAGTATATTCACTGTTTTTTTCCTAAAAATAGATTTTCAGAGTATATTCACCGGTTTTTCTTCTAAAAATAGATTTTCTGGAAATCCCTAAAAAAGACGCGAGACTTTGACGTGACGTCACGCCAAGTTTGTTGTTATTATTCTTTGAAAAAAAACGTTGAGTGGGGTGTACATAAGAGTCAAATAAGTCTATTTTAGTTTACCATTTTTCATTTTTCAAGAACAATAGGGATTAGCATGCCAATGGAAAGGCCAATTATATAGAAACAGTAGACAAGCTGAAAAATAATGATTTCCGTCGTATGTGATAAGCCATATAAAAGCTATTTATAAATTATATAATAAAACAGATATTGTACTTTTTAGCTGTTGAATATGAATGTGATATGTACTTGAAAAATAAATATTGACCCTCGGCTATCGCCTCGGTCAATATTAATTTTTTCAGTACATATCACATCATATTCAACAGCTAAAAAGTCCATATTTGTATAATATTTGATTGTATGTAAATTTGAAGACCTAAAAGGGGGCATAACTTTGTCAAAATGCAATACAGAGTTATGAAACTTGACCTGCATATCTTAATTGTGGAACTTCATATATTTTAAGTTTCAAGCAAATACCTGTTCTAGTTTCAGAAATATTCAAATACATGTTATAAAATCAAGAATATATTCTAAGTCGATTTCTGACCTTAAAGTGTGAC